TGTTACAAAAAGAAATATTTTCATGGGAATTTCTGCTTGATCTTGGTTACGATAGTGTACATATCTATCTATTCACATCAAGTCGAGATTGATCTTAACTAGTCTTTTGGTGAGAAGATGTACATTTGGGGAACAAAATTTGATGGATCTTCATTAGGAGAAAGAAAGCGTTTCTAAAATATATAGATGGTTTAATATAAATGTGCAGGAGTTACTATAGGTGTACATATGGAGGATGCAACGTGAAGAAGCAAGTGCAACGATTAACAACGGATCAAGAAGTCGTCGTGACAACCTACGAAGGAGTGCATTCGCATCCCATCGAGAAATCGACTGAAAATTTCGAGCATATTCTCACTCAAATGCAAATCTACTCTTCTTTTAATTAGTCTCTCAATCTTTTATACCTTTGGAGCGTATAATTATGAGACCTCATGTTGTAAATTATATTATAATACATAACATATCATGTTTTTTTGTTGGGTTTAATAGACAACGTTACATGGTCAAACGGAGTTTGTACGCTGATAATTTCTATAAAATTAGAAAGAAAGAAAAAAGTTTCATGTCAATAATTTGGATTATGAATTTATGATACAATGTTTAAGTTTTTTTTTTGGGGGGGGGGGTTAATTGTTTATAATAACATTTGTGAATTCTTATATATTTTTGATATGGAGTTCTAAATTCTAACGATGGACTACTCTTTGAAATGTTATGAAAAACAAAGTTGGCTAAATCATATACTCGATACCATGGATTATTTGACTTACGTAGAAGAAGTTAGCCTCTTTCGTCTTGAAAGGTAAAAAAAAAATATGATCTACGTCAAATGGTGAATAAGGCGACGTCTGATGCTGACCAATGGTTGTTGATTAACCCGATTGGAAGCTCACAAGATGGTTGTGAAGGCTCAAATTCATTCATTTGATTTTCGATAAGAGATGGAAACGGCCAGAGTAGCTAGGGTTTTCTTACGTAAGGGGTTACATAGAAATGGTGAATAAGAAGATTCATTAAATCTTGAGTTAACTAGAAACCCCTTAGTAGAGAGCATTATGGATATTTTGAGACCACAGAAGGTATAGTTTTGGTTCCGCTCTCGACAAGCCTTCACACCGTGGTGCATTGCTGGATGTGGCGACCTGCATCGTCTGCAGTGGATAGTTGAGAGGTTAAGGGACTTGCATCAACCTACCTTTCGTCGAGATTATATTAGATTGTTTTTCATTTTGGAGTGTAATGGTTTATTGACCAAAGAACTCAAACAAAATCACCCCGACCATTGCTCGTAGTGTGAACAGTCATACATGCATATTTTTAGAACTGCGATTAAAAAACTCGCCTAATTCAGAGCGTCCAAGAATATAATATCTAGCACCCATTAGAATTTTCCAATGCATTGGTCTGGATTTAATTCAAAATTGGACAAAAAAGCTTCTCAACTCAACATCCAGTTGCTTATAACACAATCAGGAGGAGTTGCTGAAACAAACAACAGCTTGATCTAAAACTCTTTTCATGGATTTATTGTTACCATGCTCCACTCGAATCTAACAAGTTTTGATCTTTAGATTAGAGCGGATTCTGCTTCCATATACTTGCATATTCTCTCCATAACTTCTCGTCCTTTAACGCTATTCTGCATGAATTTCTCCGCGCATTTCTGCTCGACTTTCTCAGCCATTGAGGCCAGAGCCGACAAAGGTTTGATCCGAATGCTTGTCTCCTGGCTACAAACCGTCCAGGCTGACGGATTTTCTGGATGCGGATCATACCTTATTCTCTCTTCCACTTCAATGAACTTCTTGAGACTAATGTTCTTTGTTGTAAGCTGGATTAGAGCCGTTCGTCCATAGGCGAAAAGAGAATGAAAACGAGATAGTTAGGCGTCTTTGCTTGATGTTTTACCAGCTCAAATGCTATATTCATTCGCTAATTTAAGCACTCTTACATGGTTGTTCATACCTTTGAATTCCTAATAAACACTTCAACCCAATCAAGTTTCAATTTTAACAGAATCGAACAAATAAAACCGTTTCCTCATGTACAAATTAGGCATCTTTGCTATATTGATCCTTTGACCAAATGTTGTTTCACCAGCTCTAACGCTGTATTAGCTATAATCTAAACACTCATATATGGTTCTTTATGCCTTCAACTCAATCAAGCTTCCTCATTTACAAATTACAAACTTTGCGGGAAAAAAAAGCAAAAGGAAGTTTATGATACCTGCATAGAGCGTGATTTGCCATCCACAACTGTTGATTCAACACAGTGACAGATGTCCTGGCCTATGATCCTGTGAAGGAACCATGGCCCAGGGGCATGGATGGTAAGAGCACGCGTGGTGTGGAGTTTCCCGGTCTCAGTATCTAGTTTCCGGTTCAAGGTATCGACTTCAAGGATGTGCGAGAGGATACGTTTGTTTTCAGGGTCTGCAAACTTCCTCCATGAGGCAGCACTCACCCGCTCCCACGGATGCTTGTAGACATGCTCTTGTTTATATGCTTTTACCATCAAGAATCTAAAACCAACATTACATAGACCGAAAAATGAATAACGCAGAACAATGTGACAAAGACTAGTCAAACAAAACAATACCCAAATCACAAATGAATGTTCTTATACAACATAAAAGTTTAAATTCCAGCAGAAACAGAACTAAATTACCAGAATCTGAATACATTACAAAAATGCAGTATTTAGCAGCCAAGGATTGCACTTTTCAAAATGGGCAAAGATAAGATAGAGCTTAACATAGATGATGCTAATGAAATACGTCTAGATCCAACCCAATAACTTCGTTTGCAGATAAAGATTTGATTTTTTTTTTTTGGTAAGATATGAGGATCAATCAATTTCAACAGACAAAGACGAAGAACACTACGAGCGAACCACATAAATTATAATTCCGAGATCGGCACGAAACCCACATCGGCGACAAATCTAACCATCAAATCGCGGTTTTGATCGACACAAGAATGGCAGTTTCTGGCTACTAAGGTTACAGAATTGGAGGAAACAGATTAAGAGAGAAACGTACTTACACAGTTGACTCGAATACGAATCGATTAGAAGAAAATTGAGAGATTTGGGAAGAGAAGTACCTAGAGAGGTATGCAAAATCAAAGATGTTGGTGAGTAATGACCCAAAAATGGAGGACGTGACGAGAGGAAATAGAGGAAGCAAAGCAAAGGCAAAGCAATGGCGGTGTCGAACCACAATGGTTTCTCTCTGTCCTTAGGCGGCACAATTTGGGCCTTGAAAAAAGCCCATTAGAAGAAAGTCCAATCTCGTGCATTTGATTTAAAAGTTGACCAAAACTACATCGTTTTGATAAATTTAGCGAACTGCTTAGGATCATGATTTACGACGAACAAGGTTCCTCTGCGTTTGCCCAAAGGATCCTAAATTATTATTCATTCGTTTCTCGATCAACCTAAACCCTAATCGTTGTTCTGAATTTGAGGTGAAATTTTCGAACCTCGTTTTTGTTTTGTTGTGCTTAAAAGCTTTGATTTTGGAGTTTTCTCTTGTGATCGGGATTCCGGATATGAGTACAAGCTTATATGTTAAGAAATTTTGAGTGTCAAACAAATCCAAGTTGTGTGGTCGTTTGTTTCCTTTGAATTTTGGAAATATCCTTTATATTGTCTATGTTTTGGTTTATCTGTTGAGTGAAAAGTCGTCTGCTTTTACATTATTTTGATACCTTGTTCTTGATGGCTTTGTAAATGTAGGACACTTGATGGATAATAACAATTCGAGGCCTTCTCTTCCGAATACTATGGACACATGTGATTGGAGAACTAAATTACCAGCTCATTCACGCCAGAGGATCGTCAACAGGATGTACTTTTACCTCGTTTCTGCAAAGTTCTCATCTTTAGCGTTATTTTGTCTTATGCTTCCTAGAGATAATACAATGTTACTATGGTCTTCTTTGCCTAACAGTTCTGTTTCTTTACTCTTTTACTTGCGCAGAATGGAAACACTACAGAAGAACATTCCATCTTCTGGACCAGAGGATATTAACGAGCTCAGAAGAATTTCTGCCAGGTTCGAGGAGAAAATTTTCAGCGGTGCGGTTAGCCAGGTAATTAACTGTCCTCTGAACATATATTTTTTTTGTTTCAATAGTGTGGTCAAAAGACTTGTGAGGCAATGGACTCCACAACATGGAAGGAACTGACTTTTGGTACCAATGAACCGACTTTATATTAATTTCGACTTTCATTTCAGACTGATTACCTTCACAAAATATCCATGAAGATGATGACTATGGAGGCGAATTCGCAAAATGCAGCTGGCTCTTCCTCATCCATCGCTGCCGCTAATAATGGCACACCCACAGATTCGAGTAATCACGATTTTCAAGCATGTATTGCTTAAGTCTGTTTATCTGGTTTTATGGAGATAATGGTTCCTCTAATTTGGTGCTGTTTAACCTTTCCTTGAATAGTACCCACCAATCAAGGACACCTTCTTCCAGGATCATTACCAACCAACCAATCTCAAGCAGCTCAGCCGTTGATGTCCCAAACTATGCAGAGTAATACAGCCTCTGTAATGACGGGTTCTACTGCTTTACCATCTTCCATGCCGCCGGTTTCTTCCATAACCAATAATAACGTCACAAGCGCTGTAAACCAGAATTCGAATATGCAAAATGTAGCCGGAATGTTGCAAGATTCATCTGGGCAGCATGGCCTTTCATCGAACATGTTTTCAGGGTCTCAAAGGCAGATGCGGGGCAGGCCACGTCTTATGTCTTCACAGCAGCAACAGCAGCCACAGAGTGCACAATCTCTTTATCAGGAGCAGAAGCAGAATTTTCAGTCGGGGAATGTCCCCAATCCCAATTCTCTTTTGCCATCACACATGCAACAACAGCGACAAAATCAACTGCATTCGTCTCAACAGCCTGGTATCCCAACATCTACTACGCAGCCCTCCACTGTGAATTCAGCTCCTCTCCAGGGTCTCCACACAAATCAGCAATCAAGTCCGCAGTTGTCTGCTCAGCAGACAACACAATCTATGCTTCGTCAGCATCAATCGTCGCTGTTAAGGTCACATCCACAGTCACAACAAGCCTCTGGCATGCATCAGCAATCAATTTCTCCTCTACAACTGCAGCAAACACAAACGATGCGGCGACAAGCTGGCCATGGCTTGTTTTCTACTCAGGGACAACAACAGTCACATACTCAGCCATCCCAACAGCAGATGATGCCCCAGCTTCAATCACATCATCAGCAGCTAGGTTTGCAACAACAACCGAATCTGATACAACAGGATGTGCAACAAAGGCTACAAGTTTCAGGCCAGGTCACAGGCTGTCTGCTTCCACCTCAAACTCTTGTGGACCAACAGAGACAATCCCAAAGAACCCTTCCAGAGATGCCATCATGTATGCTTTTGCATCCTTTTGAATACTTTAGGTTTTGATAGTTTACATAGTCTCTCAGTAGGATCCGATGTTGAACAAACCCTTTTTGATAATTCTTAGCATCGCTGGATTCGAGGGCACAGACGGAAAATGCAAATGGAGGTGATTGGCAAGAAGAGGTTTACCAAAAGGTAATTCTCTCTTTTTAAGTTGAGTAATGCTTTCCAGAAGTGCTTTGCCAATTCTGGCTACCCTTATAATAGATGCAACAAGACAGGCGATCTCACATAGATATCACTGTGACGAGTAGTTGTCTGACCATAGTGCTTCTCTTTGCAGATCAAATCCATGAAACAGGCGTACTTACCAGATCTGAATAAAATCTACCAGAGAGTTGCATCCAAGTTGCAGCAAGTAAGTTACAATCTTCTTTTACTAGGATTAGTTTGCACGTGTATGTCATTCGGAACTGTAGTGAGTACCGTATGAGGAGTTTATGAATTCAATGCAAGATCGGATCATTATCGCAAAAGAAAGTCATACAACTTTGGAGTCTTCTTACCCATATAACCAAACAAAAAGGCTCTTGAGACTTGTATTCTTACAGTCTCTCCACTAGAAAGTTAACCCTATGATATCTATGTTCTTTCTCAAACCTACAGAGGTTGTATCTTGCATCTGTGTGTTTGTTTCTTTTCTCATTAAACACGTTTCTTTTTCTCTCGAGCAGGATTCTCTTCCGCAACAACAAAGATCAGATCAGTTCGAGAAACTGAAACAATTCAGGGCAGTGTTGGAGCGAATGATACAATTCCTATCTGTTTCAAAGAGAAATATCATGCCTTTATTAAAGGATAAGGTGACTGATTTTGAGAAGCAGATTATAGATTTCTTAAATATGCACAGGAGGATAATACAGGAAGGGCAGCTTCCGCAATCTCAGATGCAGCAACCTGTGCAGCAACCACAATCTCAAACCGTTCGAGATCAATCTCATGATAGTCAAAGAAATCAGCAGATGCAATCAATGAGCATGCAGGGTTCTGGCCCAAGGGCACAACAGAGTAGTCTGACAAATATGCAGAACAATGTTCTATCATCTCGTCCTGGAGTTTCAGCTCCACAGCAGAAAGTTCCCAGTTCCATACCGGGTTCTAGTTTAGAATCAGGCCAAGGAAATGCACTGAATAATGGCCAGGGTCAGCGTGCGACTTACCCTCGTCAACAGTTAAAACCAGGATTCCAACTTTCTGCTTCGTCGCCTCAACTTCTGCAAGGTGCATCTCCTCGGATGAAACAACAACATATGTCTCCTAAGGTCGACCAGAGAAATCTGCCATCTGGCAACAAAATGGGAACTCCATCGCAATCTGCAAACTCCCCTTTTGTTGTCCCATCTCCTGCAACCCCCTTGGCTCCGTCCCCTATGAAAGTTGACTCTGAGAGACCTTCTTTGTTGCCAATGGGAAATATTGCACGCCAACAAGCAACTGGCATGCAAGGTGTAGTTCAATCCCTTGCAACTAACACTCCAGGGATCTCTGCCTCTCCTCTCCTTCAGGAGTTTAGTAGCCCTGATGGAAATAATTTAAATCCTTCGACAAGTACATCTGGAAAATCGAGTGCGGCTGAGCTTCCTATTGAACGCCTTATTAGAGCCGTAAGTAACATTGTTAATTTGAAAGGGTATATTGCAACTGGACAGTGTTATTGCTGCTATCTCCTTTTTTTTTGTAGTAGAAACATTGGTCTGAATCATGATGTATGCTTTCTGTTGATTTCAGGTAAAGTCCATCTCACCACAAGCGCTTTCTTCTGCAGTAAGTGACATTGGATCTGTTGTAAGCATGGTTGATAGGATAGCTGGTTCAGCCCCAGGAAACTGTTCAAGAGCATCAGTCGGCGAGGACTTGGTTGCGATGACTAAGTGCCGTCTCCAAGCAAGAAACTTCATGACGGAAGAGGGAATGATGGCGACAAATAAAAGGAAGCGTGACACTACTGCAATGCCGTTAACCATTGCTTCGCTTGGAAGAAGTGCGAAGGTGTATGAATGATTGCAAATACTTCTCAACAGTCAGATTCTCGTGTATGATATCTGCAAAGGTGTATGAATGATTGCAAATATCACACTTACCTAATATTATACACTTAAGCAAACATCTTATGCCTATTTTGAGCCATGCCTTCTCTGTTATTCAAGTAGTCTGCTTTTTTCAGCCATTTGTAATTTTGTACAAGTCATTTATAAAAAGATAGCTTTT